TAGCAACTTCCCATATTAAAATAGTACAAATTAAAACCTCGTAGTATTTAAACGATGCCGCCATCGGATAATGGATAGTCTTGTGCAAATCTCCATATGTGCTCTGTGAACCACATAAATTTACTGATGTAAGGTACATAATTTTGTTTTATTCAATTAGAGCCGCATTCACTCTGCTCGACAGCCAATGAGAATGCTCAAAAACCTGAGCGTTTCGTGTGACGGACGGACAGACACCGTGCTAGCATTGATAGTTTAGGACTAGCGCTCTGGGCGCCCGCTCCGCGGACGCTAGGGCGTGGTTGGTTGGTGTAGTGTGGGCTGGCCGCCTTCGCTGCGCTGCGGCGGATTAAAGAACATTTCGAAATCAAAGCTAAATATATTATATGCATTACGTGACCTACCAAGTCCGCGTTCCAAAGATCTCTCTGTACACAATATTGTTGGTGTGAACGTTCCCGTCCTCATCGATGGCCTCTGGATCCACAGCAATCTTGATCGCCCTCCTTGAAGTAACTCTCGACAAAGCCACATACAGCTGGCCATGTGCGAAGACCGGTGATTCCAAGTAGATACCCACGTGGTGGATCGATTGTCCTTGGGCTTTGTTGATAGTCATGGCAAACGCTGGAACCACGGGGAACTGCTTACGCTTGAGTTTGAACGGCAATTTAGTGTGACGGACAGAATCTGTCGTGACAATCTGTCGTGAGTCACGACTCGTGACAACCGTTGTGCCTACAGTGACACTGTCAGTGTTGGTTCGCTTTCGTAGGCTTAGAAAGAGCTCGTCTTCGCTGCCTCATACACCATAGGCAATAGAAATATCGCAAGAAGAATGAGCTGTGTCGTCTGTCCGTATAATACCAGTGTTATTGTGAGTGCCAACTTTAGTACGCACATTGTGAAGAAGATACATGTACGTCGTTGCTCAGTAGTTACTGCAACTGTCGCGATTGCAAAGAAAAACATACGATCCCCCGACATAGTACACAGTCACGGATTTGCAATCAAAACACAATCCAATCGATTCAACTCATGTCGTCAGTCCCGTATATTTCTACTGAGCCCGGACTAATGACTTGTTTGTCGCACTTTAGTGGTAGTGCCAGATAGAGCACAACTGACGGAGTTTGGTCTGAAAAATTCTAGAGATACCGTAAAAATGTAGACTCTAAGTGTGTTTTCCGGTATGCCGAAATGTGGGATCGGTAATTCGATCTGAGACATGTATTTCAAATATTCAAAGAAATCGAATTTATAAAAATTTGAGTGCCATTCATTTGTAAGAAGGATTCGCGTGGGGAAGAGTAAATGGTACGGAAACTTGTTCCGTTTGTTAGACTGCCTATACTGACGTGTGACGTGCCGGGGCTATACGGCAGAGTGAACGCAAAGAAGATCCCGATGGGCAGGTGGAGCGGGGTCACATCCTTCTCCAAGGTCGAGATCGTCTATTAAACCTTCGCGCTAGCCGCGAGAACCTCGAGAGAACCAGAGAGCTGCCAAATTCTCAACCGCTCCGGCAAGCGACGCAATCTGCTGCGATAAAGCTAGTGGAGGAAGTTCTGAACGAAGAGGCCGTGAAGGCTCAGGTACAGCAAATGCGTGCGGAGTACGCAGCAAAGCACGGGCCTTCAAAAATGATGCCAAGGGAGCGGGCTACGGCACCACCGCAGCGTCATACGAATCGCATTAGCCAGCGCGTTTGCCGACAAGGACGTTTCTCCGAGAATGAGGTGGTGGAAGAAGATGAAGAAAGGCGGCTACAAAAATCATGTCGTTCGCCAGTTGATGATGTAGCTGCAGCGCGACAGTTTTTCGAGCTGAGTGGCTCGTCATCAGACGAGGGCTCGCCCGTACCTTTTGTCGCCACACAATTGCCGCTACTTGAAAGCGAACTGAAGTATCTGACGGATAATACGGTGCTGGAAGCCCCAGATCGGGCCCGATTTGAGAAATCTAAAGACTCACAATTCGAGAAACCCGATGAAGCACAGTTCGGAGTACGTGAAAGCGCGCACTTCGGGATACATGATAGCAAACATTTCGAGAATTCAGATGACGTCAATTTGGATATACCGGAAAACTACGGCAACTGCAGCGACGGTGTTTTGAACGGCTTCCCTTCGAGGTGGAGCTCTTGGAAACAATTTCATGACAGACTTAAATCGTTTAGTGCCCGGACCAACCAGTGTTTTATTATTCGATCGTCACAGACCGTGAAAAAAAGGAATTTGCAGATGAATGACGGTATTTGACACTTTCCAATTGCATGGAAGCATTACTTCAAAACGCTAGTGTGTACGCACGGACACAAGCAACGACCACGCGGCAAAGGAATCCGAGTCCACAGATCGGTGCGCTACACAGGTTGTACAGCGCAGGTACACGCTCTGTTATCGAGTATGGGAACACGACACTACATTTACGTTCGCAGTTCTGGCAGTCACAACCACAACCTGAGTAGCACGCTATGGGACTATTACGCAGCCAATCGAACAATTCAAGATCCCGCGCTACTCGCCACAGTTTCTGAAATGCGCGCTGCTGGTTCCTCGCCTAAAGGCATTCTTGCTTGGATCCGCAAACAGACAGGTTATCTACGTAGAGGCTGACTAATTCCACAAATTACTTAATGTTTTTGTGTGTGACTATATTTACATATAGGGAAGAAAACGAAGCTCAAACATGTGCATAACATGCTGCAGGATCTTAAACATGCAGCAAAGGGGTCAACTACAGACGTTGAAAGAACCGAAAGCGTGCTACGTGAGTTTACCAAGCAGGACGAGGAAAACACGGCAAAGATATTCGTGGACACCACCAGAGAGGTGGCTGTAGCGGTGGTCTTTCAATCGTCTGGGATGAAAAGACTTTTCGAAGCTTTTCCTGAAGTTGTAATGGTAGATACAACTCACGACACAAACACGAACGCATACAAGCTTTTCAGCTTTGTTGTGCATGACTGTTTTGGAAAGGTACACTAGTAATGTTTATATGGAATCATTTCGACAGTTAACGAACCTATTTGATGTTTGCGTAGGGTCAGTACGTTCAACACGCATTGGTTGAACGGGAAACCAAAGAAAATCTCCGTCTGGTTCTCCATACATTCAGAAAGAACAATCCCTGCTACAAAAACGTGAAAGTGCTTATGACAGATAAAGCTTTCCACGAGAAAAAGGTTCTAGCTGAGGTTTTCGAGGGAACTCGTCAACTACTTTGTCAGTTTCACGTGCAGCAGTGGTTCGCTAAGCAAGTGGGGAAGTTAGTTGTCGGAACTACGGAGACAAAGGCTATAATTGAGGCGTCAATGGCTCAATTGATCGACGCCGCGAGTACCAGCGAGTACGATAACCAGAGAGCTTTCCTTCTGGACCTACTTGGAGGAGACACGCAACACAGGCTGTGGAAATTGTTCATTAACAACTGGGATAACATGCAAGAGCAGTGGGTCCGATATAAGCGTGGTAACATACCCCACCTTCGAAACAACACCAACAATAGGCTTGAATCAAAGTGGGGAAAGCTCAAACAGTTGATCAGATCGGACTACGGGATTGATGAGTTGGTCTCCGCGCTTATAATGATACAAGAATGGGCCGAAGACGAATACGTGGAGGAGTACAATAAGGCAGGGTCAAGACCTCCAATGGACGAGCATCAGGAGCTGGCTCATCTTGGCGTCGTTGTAAGCTCGTTCGCTTTCGATCTCGTGAAATCTGAATTCATGTACGCATCGTCGGGTGACGCTGATTACGCCTTCACACATCACGACAACCGAGTGATCATGCAGAGTCGCCGCTCTGGAAAAAGCTACGATCTCGATTTACAGGTAAAACTATATAATTCTTTGATTTTTAGAGATTGCTAAGTGTGTACAGATCGGGATACCTAAATGTAAAACGAGCGACAACTATACTAACGACTACCCTGCTGTTGTTTTTATAGAGCTACAAGTGCGACTGCGCGTTTGCCCAAACGCTTCTGCTCCCGTGTCATCACGCAATGTACTACAGGAAGTTAAACGGCAACGAGAGCATTCATCCACCACTCTCTCTTATTTGCCCCCGATGGTTGCGATCCCATCCAGCGAATGACATTACGAATGGACCAGTCTTGCGGGGAAAATTCGAGTACCACAGCGTGATGGATAAGAACCACGACAAGAAGCAATTCCCTAGTTCGACCTCTCTGCCAAAATCTGTCAGGTTTTCAAATGCAAAGATACTGGGTGAGGAAGTCGTGGTGCTACTAGCGCTCCAGCCAACACCCACGTTTAGTACGGGCATGCAATGGCTTACACTTTTTCCGGGACGCCGTTCAAACTGGAACATTGGAGGATTTCGTCGGAATAACTGTCGCTTCCAAACTCGCCAGATGCTGAAAGAGAACACGATGAAGCAAAACCCGCAACGTCAAGCTCCGGCTCAAAAATGAAAGAGCAATCGAACGGAAAGCTCGGAAAACGTAAGTACGCTTTCACGAAGCCAGTGCAAAACAAAAAACTGACAAGAAAGGCCCAGACTAAAATAACGCGTATTCAGCGAAAGATTGGCGTGCGCACCCTGGCAAAATTGTGCAAGGACCAAAAAAGCAAGCCGGCAGTGACTCCTATAATGCTCGACTGTCTACTGTCTGGAAATTATTGCTACAACGCGGTATCGGAGAAACTATCTTTGTTGGATTTACCGGTATGCGAAGTAAAGGGCAATGCCACGATTCGATTTCTCGAGGACAGACAGCGGTTAACAATTGACGATGTGACTCACCGATTACCTGCGGATAAAATAACACACGCGTTGTCAATCCTGCCGCTAACGAACGTCGAGAAGTACGTGGCGGTGTGGGAGGAATACGGAGACGTCACCCGAGAACAACTTATGTTCCTAGAGCGATATGGAGACGCAAAAAATCAGATTGAGGATGTTGAACATACACTAGAATGGATTGAGGATGTAAAATGGAAGGCTACCGCTGTTGAAGAGGTTCCTGTCATGTTTTGGGAGCCACTTCAGGAGAGAAGGGTACGTTGACTTATTGCACACGGTTACTGCTACGAGAAGTTATGCGAGATTGGATACGTGCTGACGTCAGTAATTTTTATCATAATACGTTTCGCAGGACTACATTCTAGAGCAAATTAAGGAGTTACCCCTTCGTTTATTCTCCGTTGGAAAAGAGGCTATCGATGGATACCGTTTGCTCAGCTTTCGACGAAACCAATGGCTCAGCACGACAGCCATGATAACAACAATGAAAGTGTTGGCTGAGAAGTACACTGACGTCGGTGTGGTGAGTCCCTCCTTTCGCGAGCCGAAGGAACCCGACCGAAAGAGAATAGTCGCAAATGCTTATAAGGCATTCACACCCACCAAGAGCAAGTTGATTGGGGCGCTAAACTACGATGGAGCACACTGGGTAGCCTTCTTCATTGACGTGGGGGATCGGGTCTGCATACTCTTTGATCCACTACAAGAGGATATGAACTACGCAAAAATTAAAGCAAGCATCAAGGAAGTGGTGGAGCCTCTGTTGCCTGTAAATACCGAGCTGACGTACGACAACTACACTTCGTGCTTTCAGCAGGACAGCGACAACTGTGGATTGTGGTGCCTCATTGTTCTTGAGCTAAGTTTAACTGGTATGCCATGGCACAAGGGATTGTACAAGCTGGTCCCGTATCTGCGACTGCGTTTCCTGAGCCTGTGCTTGGGCTACGTTGAGGAAAAGCGATAATGCTGAGTGTGGAATCTCGTATTGAATTGCGACTTAAACTTTTCATCGTACTCCATTCATGAATGCTTCCTTTTGCTTTTGTTTCACTAAAATGTCTGCATTTACTTGCTCAACCTGTACAGTAACGTTCGTTGAGATCTACATTAACTGAATTCGCAGAATTTGCTCTATGAATTCCTAAAGAAGACCTGTGACGGGGTCACACAGCACCTTGCGCTAGAGGAAGTTATCTTCCGAGAGTATACAAACTCTCAGTGAACGGCAGTTCACAGGTCCCCTCTTTAATTAAAGAGAGCGAAGTGACCTAAATAAGGTAGATTGTAAACTGAGTATATTTATAGGTAGGTTAAGTTTGTGGTTAATACAAACTATCAGTTACCTATAGAAATGCAATGTCATTTAACCAATGGTTGGTTTTGAATGACCTTGGTACCTTGTACCAAATATTCCGGAGTATGACATGTCATACTCCTGAAGTGTGAAGTGTCACACTTCATGTAACCAGGGTACACTTAGTGCTACGTACCCCGTTACATCCTCCCCCACTTAGGTTCGGTTTACCGACCAATCAGAATGAAGAGATGTTCGTCACAAACTCTCATTCTCAAAGTCGAAAACCATCGACTCGGCCGCGCGAGCGCGGCGGAGGCTCACTTTACAGTTAGAGCCTCGAGCAGCAACCTGTGCGCTCTTCGTCAAGGTCTCCACTTCGACCGTTAACATGCCTCGTGGCACTGCTAAGAGCGGTGCTAAGACACGCTCCAAGGCTGCAGCCGGTAAGGCGCAGGCCAAGAGCACTAAGCCTCACGGCAAAGGCTCTGCACTTAAGGAGGCTACTCAGGTGGCCTCCGAGGCGATCGGATCCTCGGGTGACGCGGCTGCGGACAAGCGCGCAAGCAGGCGCCGCAGTCCGTCGCCCTCGTCTTCAGACAATCGTCCGAACCCTCGGTTCGTAGAACATGAGTTCAACTCGGGCAGTGAGGACGATGCCGAGTTCGAGAGCACTCATGATGCTCCTGCGGGCTCTGTGGGAGGGCACAGCCCAGTGCCCAGTGAGCACAAAGAAGACAGCGTGCAGTCGTCCGCTAGTGATCACGGTGATCACAGTCCCAGGACCTCTGTGCGCTCTGAGAGTCCGGCCGTTAAGGCTAAGGGCACTCCCAAAGCCGGTGGCGATGAGGAAGGGAGTCCTCGCAAACGTCTCTCGCTTGCCGAGGGTCTTGCGCGCGCTAAGGCCTCTAAAGCCGAAGGCGCCAAGCCCTCAAAGAAGCGTACCGCCTCTAAGTCTCCACTCCGCGAGGAGAAGGAGACTCGACGCTCCTATCAGAGTCTCTTCGGCTCCTCGGATGAAGAGGAGGAGAAGGAGGAAGAAGAGGAAGAGGAGGGTGCCATTGTTGAGCCCCGGGAGGTCTCGAATGACCTCGACCAGCAGCAGGAGGATTTCCAAGCTGCCCAGCGTGTGCGTGGGGGTTCGGTGGCGGCACCCGTCAGCCAGGGAGCTGCCATCAACTCAAGAGGGTATTGGCCTCCCGAGGAGAGCTCTGGGGCTGACCTCTTCTTAGAGCTTCTTGTCGCTCCTCGTGGCCTTGTGGGCGGCCACACTTCTAGGGGCATCTATGAACGAGCCCTTGTTCAGAAAGAACAGTTGTTCGTCGACAACGTGGAGGCTGCTCGGTGTGTGCTTCTCGCGCCACACCGCATTCCCCTTAAGGACTTCACGACTTGTCGTAAGAAGCCCGAGACCCGGGGTGGTCTCTATCCTGTTTGGGGATACCCCTGGGTTATGCCCGAGAACTGTCCCACATGGAGGTCTTGTGAGGACATGTTCTGGGCGTGGGTGGAGACTCTCAAGTACTCGCCCACGGAGTTATGGGAACTCCATGAAGATCAGCAGCTGTCCCACATCCTGGACCAGCGTGATCTTCGTGTGAGGTTTGCCCACTTGATCAGCAAGCGTATGCTGCCAAGGGACATCCTGAAGCGCGCGGCTTCTAGCGCTCACGATGAGCGCGGTACGGGTATGTATTCATCATCCGTACCCCGTTCGGGCAGAAGGCCCCTGGACTACTTATGAAGCTGCCGCCGC